AAGTTTTTTTTCATGTACCATCAATATTGCTAGATTTTATTGTTTTGTGTTATTGAATTTTGTGCCAGAATTTGTGAATTTCATTTTTTTCAGAACATATTTTACCGCATTTCATCATTTTTTACGGTTGCTTTATACTCACAATTGGCTAATGAAACCACTTTTTGTGGATTTTAATAACGAATGGAAAGGTTTGTTTTTTTGTTTAAATTATAGATTTTTAAATCAGAATGGTTTTGTTTGCTTTTTCCTTTCTCTTAGACAATTATCGCGGCTGGCACTTAGCGTTATTGCCCTGTTAGTTGCTGAAAGCACGATTCTGCCAGTGAAAAAACCAGTCTCTTTACGATTCGTTCATTCGTTTCGATGGTAAATTGGCATTAATGCCTTCCGGAGGCTCAGTAAAGCCATTCTTTTATTTCCGAGCAACTCTCGGGAAAGGGATTCATCGTTAGCTTCGTTAGCGGGTGGTTGCTTTTGGCATTTGCTACTACTTGAACTATTTCCGATTTGCTCCACCTGTGGAAGCAGTTCAGTGTGGGATGGGGTGGGGGAAAGGCGAGGCGTAGGAGGGGGAGGAAAGGAGAAAGAGGCGAAGAAAAGGGGATTGTTCTTGTTCATATTTTTAGCCGAGCTCTTTACTTACAGAAGAGGATATCGATGAAATGGAAAAAGAATTTATAAAATTGAGACCTGTTTTACCAGCTATGGTTATCTGTACATCGGTTGATAGAAGTGGCTCTCGGTACAGCTTTTTTTTCACGAAATTTTCTGATTTTTTCATTTTGTTCTCGGCGCACCAATATTACTGTATAAATGCAATCAGCGCTTGGTCATAAATTGTAAATGATGTGAAAAATGTCCTGGAAAGCTGGTTTGGCAGCAATTTTTTGCAATTTGAGTTTTTGTTACAATATATTTCCAGATGGACAAGGGAAGAACCTCAGCCATTAATTTTAAAGCGAATTGTCTCACTTGCCAAGGACACAGCAGCAGTAATTGATGAACACATAATTAGCAGTGTGCCACTAAATCTAAAGGTTTGATTG